TGATTATAGGAATTATTATACAGTATTACTATCTGGTAGATTTATGTAATATCTTCGACCAGAGTTAATTGCTGCTAAAATTTTACAATAAATACAATAATAATTACAATTAATAAAAAATAGTCTTATTTATGAGTAACAGGCACACTACAAAAAAAGCTTCTATGACCACCTTTCCCTATGTCATCAGTTGGGTACCCTCACTGCTTACTGTGTTTTTGACCCTAAACCAAAGAACGTCTGATGAGGTTGGGCTTGCTTAGCAATATCACCAAGCTCCGAAGCAGAACTATCACATGTACAGCTTCATGTACCATGCCTATCATATAAAGCTATCTGGATATGATTGATGGTTGAAATAACAGCAATGGTAGAATATTGATGAAACTTTTGGAAGCTGATGATAATAATTATAATTAGGCTAAAGTGATTGTGGGATTTATAAGAAGATACATAATCAGTAAGTACAAAGAAGACCACGGCATTGGCACACTACTTGTCTAAAATGTATTCTAATGTAAATTTGAAAAACTGTCTTTAACTTTTCAAAAACAGATGGAGTCATAAATTTTTACTTCTCTCTTTAGTAAAAAATGATGCTGATTCAATTTCTGTATTCTCTGATGTCTGTCTGGGCAAGTTATGTGTTTCTTTTAAAATAAAATTTTAATGTGATTTTTCACTGACTGGTTATCTCCTAAAAGTCCACTTAAATGTTTTTATCATTTCATTTTTTCCATATTTTGAAATATGGCATGCAGATTCATTTCTTTGAGCAAATTTTGTGATATGAATATATACAAATTATAAAGCCAACCTGTACACTGCATGGGAGGATTTGTTGGAATACATGTTTCAGTCATCTGTTTTTTACTTTAAATTTGTATTATTATGCTATTAATTCCTTCAGGTGGAATTAATCATTTTGTATAATTTAGTAACATATGGGTACTTTAATGAGCATGAAGTGAAATTAATACCATCTTGAATTCAAACATTTTTTTAAATTTATAATATGGCAAAACCACTAAAGCTATTTGTTGCCATCCCTAATTTTGAGCTATTGACCAGAGGGAAGGCAACCATTCAGCAGCATCCACACTCCATCATACTACAGACCAGCATCCATAAGTGCAAGCAGTAGGATTTTTCTAATAAATAATTCAGTACATTGTTTTCCTTTCTTATTTAAGACCAGTTAAAATTAATAATAAGCAATGATTCTGCTTTTTAACAAAAATCAGTGAACAGTTTCACATGTTAAGAATTGACCTTTGGCCTATTACTGCAAAATGAAAAGGTAATTTTTTTATTTCTTATAGTCACGAGTAATTTACCTTGTTTCGTAAAACAGAATCACACTGTAAATTTTCCACTGTTGTAAGTCAAAACAATAAATGCAACAAGTTTTATTTGTGATTTGAAATGAAGAATTGTATACATATTTAAGTAAATCACAAGAGTTTTTTAAAATACCAAATCATGCAATTCATGTGTAGTGTGAATTACATAAATGGCAAGACATGACCACTTCAAACAAGACAAAGTTTCCATCTCCATCCATCTATTATTTTTCTATAACTAGATGCCAAAAGTCAGAAATATCAATCACTGCTCTAAAAATATTATTAGAGGTTCTTAGTTTGTCTAAGTGTACAACATTATCTCCAATAGAAATTAAATAATTTTGATAACGAGATTTTTTAAAATTATGAAATGTTCTCAATTTCCTAAAAAATAATAACATTCTCTGATAGGCTTCATAATCAAGAACTTGCTTTTTGCAAGTCAGTGCTGCATCATAGTTTAATTTAAGAAAAATGTAGATTTTAGCAGAATTTTCAAGAACCTCAACACAGAAATTTTTGAAGTTGAGGTGCATATATTGTGATGATCGACCTACAATATATTTTCCAGATGCATTCTTGAAATTTTGACAGTCTTTTAAACAAGAAGAAAACAAGTTTGCTATAAACTTGTAGAAGAATCTAAACAACCATGCAAATGGCAAAATATATACTAATACTGAAATTACATTATGACTATTTAACATTATCTGCTACTAACTGCAAGGGTGAAAGATCCATAAAAAAGTAAAAAATGAACAATGTGATAGCAAAAACTATGTGATCTCACAGTCATAGACTGTAAAGACATTTAGAACACTTTGTTAAACAAATATGTCAAAAGAAAACACTTTAGTTTACCAGTAGTCATAGTAAGAGAACATATTTTCTGGATGGCACGTTTTGATGTAATATTTTAATGATTTATCTAATTATTGTACTCCAGTCTAGCAGTGGATTTAACATACTTCCTAGTGTACATACATGTATGTACAAATGATCATATATAACACATTAACATTTTACGGTACTTGAATTTAAGAAATTTTTGTTTCACTAATTGTAATAGTTTTAATAATTGAAACTTATTAATTTTTCAATGTCTTGATTCAAGTTGCAAGAACACATAAATAAATAGACTGCTATGTTTCTATCAAGGTAAATAAAATAACTTGTATCTTTAGAATGTATCTATATTAGCTCAATACTTCACTATTACAGCTTCATCAGGAACTATCAATATTATAAAAGTTCAATAATCCAGTTGAAACTGAATCATAGGACAATTATAACAATTGGACAATATGAACATAAGACCATTATAACAATCGGACAATATGAACATATGACAATTATAACAATCGGACAATATGAACATATGACAATTATAACAATCAAACAATATGAATATATGACAATTGTAACACCAGAGGGTGAACTTCTAGTGACAACAAGGAGGGCAGTTATTATACACCAAGAAGTGAAATTCCTGTAACAAGCCTTATCAGAAATAACTTTAGTGACTGGGGCATAGTAGAACCAAACACTCCAGCTTGACCTGAGGGATTACTGATGGGAAAAACTATCCTGAATCTGCAGAGTAAGGATATCATTATAAGAGGTATGAACACAAACAATGAGATTTGTGTAAATTGTGGAGGAAAAACTACATAATGTGAGGCTCTACAAGTAGTTAGTTGATTGGTTGGTTGTTTGGAGGTTACTGGTGCAAGAAAACATAGCTATCTGTGCCAAACAACCAGTAAAAGGACAGAAAGAAGTAAAATTTTATAAAAAGTAAAAAAAAACAAGCTAACAGCTAAACAATGCCCAAAAATCAGGTAAAAAATTAAAGAGAATGAGAAAGGCCAATGGCCCACAAAAATCTAAAAACACAATCAAGCTGGACAGTGTCTACAAGTAGTACTTACATGAAAATGAACACTTGTAGAATTCAATTTAGAAACAAGATAGGAAATTCTTATGATAAAACTTCACATAAAGAGAGCTTACCACCTCACTTACAAAAACTATGACCAGAGCTGCAAATGTCTTGGCACTAATCAATGCCACATATCAAATTAGTTGCTCATCCACTTACCTTCTCCAGTGGATCTTATCACTTCAGCCATACAAATAAAATATCTTATAACATTGATGCTGGATATGCTACCTTAATATATCAGTTGGCCACACAACTTCCATTTGCAAAATAGGTTGAACTACAAAAAAGAAAAAGTGACTGAATCAACTGCAGACCTTGGGCTTTGCCCATTGTGAAGAAGAAGAAAGGATCCACAAGGTTTCCATATAGACTAATGGAGTTGAATGAAGTCTCAAAGAAGGATGCCTATATTCTGCCAATGACTAACTATACTTTGGAACCTTTATCTGGTCAAAATCAGTTTCAACAGTGGTTCTGAAGAATGAATACTGTAAAGTGTAAGTCAATAAAAGACACCTTTATGGCAAGAAATGGGTTAAGGCAATTTGTTGTGTTACTATTTGGATTATGTCATGAGCCTGCTACATTTGAATGACTAATAGAATGTGTTTTCTTGATGATGCTTTTGATAGGTTAACAAAAGTAC